TCTAAGCCCTGTAGGGCTGACCCAAAATGTGTCCTCCAAGAGCCTTCCCAGCTGTGGGCTACGCAGGGAAAAGCCTAACCCACGGATAAGGATGGAGGAGCCGGCCTCGGAGCCCCTGCTTCGCAATGTACTGAGTGTAGAATCCTTAACAAGAAACTTCGCCTGGTGGACTTTCATTCTCTGTAAAGTGAAGGTACCAACAACTGCCTCCCACCCCTGTTGTGAAGATTGGCTTAGAGCAGCGATTTTCAACCATTTTCATCTCATGACACATGAGCTCCTGACTCAAACTCTGTGGCACACCAAGTATGTTATATTTTGACCAAAAAAATAAGTATAATTTTTATTCATTCCAACTGGACGGCTGTTGTTGTGTTGGCTGTTGTCATTCGTTTATTTGACAAGGGAAAGGGGTCAGGGCCCCTGAATAAGTCAGATATTGCATGCTTTAAACATTCTTGCAGTACACCCGCTGAAAATTGCTGACTTAGAGGATCAGGGTGAAGCTGGTTGGTTGTTGGCTGTAACATATCTCTGAGCATCCTGTTTATTTTCTGATAACAGTGAGATAGTCCAACCCAAGGTGATCAACGGCCCATTAGAGCTGAGCCTCAGAGAGGCCTGCCATGCCCTACTAGTCCCCGCCCAGCCTCCACACAGGACAAAGCCAGCTCTGCCATCTCCTGCCCACCTCCATGATCCACCCAGCGACCAGGCTGCAGGGCCTGCTGTGGCACCCACAAATGTTACTTCAGCAGTCCAGCGTTCTTCACTCTTACTCTTCTGAAAAGCAGGAGCTCAGGCCTGGAGCATGTTCAAAATAAAAGGGGAAATTGAAGACCATCTCATCCCAAATGGCTCCTCTTATAGATGGAAAATCTAAACTCAGGCTCAGGAAGGTGGAGTGACGTACCAAGGTCACCAGAATAGGACTGTCTGATTACAGAGCTGAAAGTCTACGCACTCTGCACTAACGATTTGGGGCAGGGTCTGATTTTATCAAGGCCTTAAGTTCAGAACTCTGGGACCATGAAAAGGGCCCTAAGCTGACACTAAAAGGCACTAAACCGTGCCTTCTTGCCCTGGCTCTAGCACTGCCTTGTCGTGTGACTCCAAAAGTGAAAAGAAGGGAGTTGAATTAGCTATTCTCTGAAGTCACTTACACATCCAAAATGCTTTCGAAGCTAAGGCTCAAGGATCTTAAGATTATTACAGTTTTGAGTTAAAAGCATGTCTGTGTGGGGTGATCCATCTTGTCCCACTGATGGACACGTCCTGGCTGAGGTATTAGCTCCCTCCTTACAGACCCCAGGACAGCTCAGTTCTTCCCGAGGAGGCAGGCACTGAGATTCCCCTTGTCTCTCTCCCTCCCTTCCTCTGTCCCGCTGGAAAAATTCCTGAGGTTCTTTTTGCTCTACAGATCCTTGGGCAAAATGCCTCTATTCTTTGAGGAAGCCGCACTTGCTTGCTGACCTTCAAAAGAAATATGCTTTTAGTCTGAAAACTGATGTAGGAATTTTTATTTTTAATTACATCTTTTAAAATTGTAGCTGGAAGACCTAATTGAGCTAATGATTAGGCAAGGAGGTAAAATGGTGGAATTTTCCAAACATGTGGTATCTGAGATAAAACAAACTGAGCAGACAGGAAGAAAGAGAAGGAAATGGAAGGGTTGCATTTTCTAGCTTTGAAGTGGAGCGATAGTCATGTGGTCTCATTAGTGTGGTTATAATTATTTAAATCCATTCTCGTGGCTTAATTCCAAAGTGTTCAATTATTACACAGTCATGTAGCTGAGAGACAAAAGATTGCCTATTACTGGCAGATACCCTCAGTCCAGTCCGTCTAATTTTTGAAGTAAATGTGGTCTCAAGAAAAAATACACTGGGTGGGGGAAAAGTCAGTTTACACTTGTTCTTATGGAAAAATAACACAATAAATAAGAAATAATAATACAAGAATAAACTCTGTTTCATGTACTCACAACTGTAAACCCTCTTGCCCCACCCTGTATAATAAAAGCCTCTGCCTTAAAAAAGAAAGACTTACTTTAAGAACACTTCTTGAACATCTAACATGTAGCAAGTGTTTCACATACATCATACCATTTAGTCCTTGCTACAATTCTATAGTGAAAATGTTAACCCCCATTTTACACATGAGAACAGAGGCCCAAAAGGACCAGTTGGATTGTCTAAGATTAGCTAGCCAGTAAGTGGCAAAACTGTTTCTAAATGTTCTACATCTGACTGACACCTACTGAACCAAGTCCCCTCTGCACCTGTCTTTTACTCTATGAAATGGGGTGATTCCTGCCCTAGCTAGTGCACAATGCAAAATACAGAAGCACAAGCAGACCATTAGATGCATGACTGTGATAGACAGTAGAGGACAATAGTTGTGGGAATCAAGAGGAAAAATTGTTTTGACATCTAAACAGTGATATTAAATTTAGATGGTCGGTAAATATTACTTATTTACTTTAAATACGAGTGCAAGTTTCTTTGTCCCTCCAGATTCACCCTCCACACACTTCTCCATCCTGCTTTGTGCATGGGGTGGTACCACATCTGGCCCCATCAAGGAGCCCTGCAGCAGGCATGGTCAATGCCTTGCCCACATTCCTTGGACCTCACCCAACTTCAGCTCTCGCCAGATTTCCAACTGCCAAGACCTGCATCTTTGTGTCTGAGGATTGTCCCCAGACCCACAAGAAGGCCAGTCTGCCAGCCTGGCAATCCAGAAGTACCCAAGAAATAGCCCAATCCCAGGAGCAGCCCTCAACCAGACTCCAGAGGCATGAATGTCCCAAAGCCCTCACCTTTTGGAGGAATGAGTCTGGGGCATGTGTTTACATTGTTTCCCAGAGTTTCTCTGTGGGATTAAACCCTTTTTGTAGCCGGCTTAATAACACAATCTTGTTGGTCACCTTCTCTTGGGCATCACTCCCTCACTCCTCTACTCGTGCACCCTGAACTTCTTACATGAATTTTCACTCAAGTAGACTTTTGCTTAAGCCCTTATCCCATCATCTGCTTCTGAGGGAACACAAACTAAGATAGGCTTCCCTGAGGTCTGGCTTCCTGTCGGGTTCAGCTAAGAGGGAAGTGCCAGCAAGAGCTGAGGCGTGTTGCATTTCTACTCTCCACCCCAGGGGCTGCCAATGCCTAGCTCTGTCCTGGACCCAAAGGTCCTGCTCCTGTCAGGGGCCTCTTCACACAGTTCTTTCTCTTCTGGTTCCAGGAAGCGGAGGCTCCCTCCCTTTACGCTTTCAGGCCATAAGCAGCACCCACCTTCACTAGCCCTGGGATACTGCAGTATTCCTTGTGATCGCTCTTCACCCTCTTAACAATCCCTTTATTAAACCTTTCTCAAATTCTGATGTTAGCCCACCATCGCTCCTATTGGTATCACTAGTGCTTCAGCAGGTTTGACGACTTCTGGATTTGGCCTCAGATAGTTGGTGATGAGGGTATATGGAGGGTGCACAGGCGATGGCAAGAATGGTGGAGGGAGCAGAGATGGAGAGACAAGTGCACAGTGCAACAAAGGCTAACTGGTAAGGGAGGGTGGGTATATTAGAGAGCTATTGCCGTGTAACAAAGTATCTCAAAATTTAGCAGCTTAAACATTGATTATCTCACAGTTTCTAGGGGTCAGGACTCCAGGAGCTGCTTAGCCAGGTGGTTCTGGCTCAGGGTCTCTCATGAGATTGCAGTCAGGATGCCAGCTGGGTCTATACTCAACTCAATACAGTGGGGCCTTGACTTACGAGTGTCCCGACTAACGAGTTTTTCGAGATACGAGCTGTCTCTCGGCCGATTTTTTGCTTTGAGTTGCGAGCTAAAATTCAGGTTACGAGCCAGCTTCAGATACCCCACCGCTAGTTGGCGCAGCGAACATCACAGTGAACGCCACATCAGCCCAGCATCACTTGTCTTACTCGTTCACTTTAATGATTTGACATACGAGTAATTTGGGTTATGAGCTCTGTCACAGAACGAATTAAACTCGTAAGTTAAGGCCCCACTGTACTTGACTGGAGCTGAGGAATCCACTTCCAAGCTCATGTACTGGTTGCGGGCAGACCTCAGTCCTCACTGGCTGTTGCTGGAGGCTTTAGTTCCCTGCAACAGAGCTGCTCAAAACCCAGCAGCTTGC